CACAGGTTGAGAACCACTGATTTAAGGATTTCTCTGATATGGAGATTAACATGCATTTATTTATTAAAAGGGGCACGTTTATTACATGGCCAACCTTAATGACAACAAAAATAATTTGTTTTATTTATTATTTTAGGGAGCTGTAGTAGTGAAAAAGTTGAGCATCACTTGATTAGGCAATTAGACTAGTGAGCTACTGCCAGTATAAACCCATTTAATCAATGGATTGGTACAGATTTATTGAACAACAACTCCCAGTATTCCTAACCACCTTGGCAAAAGAATCAGTATGTTGTTGTTTAATATAACACAGTGATGTCCCCTCATGTGCATTGCCATTCGGAAATCAGCCAATCACAGACATATCCTCAGTTCCTCCCAACTCAGAGCATTAGCTGTTAAAAAAATGCTTCTAATTTTGGTGCAGAAAAATGCTTGACTCCTGCCAACTTTCAGTGGCCTTGAAGCTTTGGTACACAATAATTCATCAATATCTGTGGTAGTGTTTTTCAAAATCTTTTCTCCTGTCTCCTTCCTCCTCCTAGCCTGCTTTTTTTTTCAGAAGCTCAAAGTTATTCTTCTTTTCCACTTGTATTCCTACTACAACAGTTCTCCAAGGGAGGTTAAGCTGAGATATAATAAGCATCAGGTCATCCAAGTAGATGTTCTGGCTGAGTGAAGATTTGAATCTACGTTATTCTAATTCCAGTCCAATATCATAATCACTACCCTACACTATCCCATCGCTGTTTAGACTTGTTCAAAAACCAGCACGTGGCTTACTCAACCCTAGTCATCTTCCACACTATGCCAAAACATAATGACCTGGTATTAAAATTATGCTAATAGAATAATTATATTAAATCCTACTGCTAATTTTTAAACCTTGTAATTACATTTACAAACTAGTTCAAAAGGGACAGTGTAGCACATTAAGATGAGGATTATTAAGGTGGGGAAGGGTCCTGGAAGTCCTATGCAAAAAATGTAACGGTACAGAGATATCTAACCAATCTTCAACCTATTTGCCAAAGCACCAGAAGGCAAGACAAGAAACAAGGAGAGAAGCAACTTAGAACTAAGGAGAAATTTACTAAGAGTGAGAACAATTAACCAGTGGAACAGTTTGCCTTCAGAAGTTGTGAATGCTCCAACACTGGAGGCTTTTAAGAAGAGACTGGACAGCCACTGGTCTGGACTGGCATAAGGTCTCCTGATTGAGCAGGGGGTTGGACTAGGAGACCTCCAAGGTCCCTTCCACCCCCATTATTCTGTTATACTGTTATATAAATATCTAAAAGGCTGTTCCTAAAAAGGAGGAATGCACTTAATCTCTATTGCCCTAGAGAGCAGGATTAGAACCAGTGGATTAAAATTACAAGGAAGAAAGTTCAAATTGCAGTTCAGGAAGAATTCTCTGATTATACGAACCAGGGAACAGGCTTCCAATATGGCAGGACTGGCTCTACTTCACTAGAGGTCTTGAAATAGAATTGGATTTTTATTTTTCAGAGGTGCTCTATTAGATCCTGTCCTGAGTTCAGAATTGTAAAACATGCAGTTTCTGATTTTAAAAGTCCTTCGAGATGCAACATTGGGGGGGGGTTTCCAGAAAATGCTATCTTTCATCCATAATCATCAAGAAAATCGTCATTCTTGTGACTGATACAAGGACGCCCAACAATTTCCTCCCTTATATAATTCTTTTCCTAGGATTGTTCCGCCAGTTGTACACATTTTTACCCATCTTTGGATGAGAATTGGAAATATTTGTGTAGTATAGGACAGGGATCCCCAACCTCCGGGCCATGGACTGGTATCGGGCCACGGCATGCCAGCAACCAGGCCGCACAAACAAGGAAAGCCCCATCTGCGGGATGCAGGCAGCACACAAAACCACGTCCCCTCTGGTCCACTGAAAAAACTCTCTCCACGGAACTAGTCCCTGGTGCCCAAAAGGTTGGGGACCTCTGGTACAGGATATGTAATTATGATATTTTTAAAGTTTTGGAGGATATGTGTTTGTATATATGCTCACATACAAAGGGTATCCTGTAAAGTGCCAGTTTTACACTTGGGAACTGTTTCAGAATATTCTAGCGTTAATAAATATACCAATTAAGCCCACGTTCTCTATAAATATCTTAAATATAAGTGTGATGAATCAGTTAATATGTTCATATGTTTTCCTTGAGGTATACTCAGACACATTATTCAAGTCTTGAGGGATAATTCAAACTGAGCTCAAATTATAGCTTTGTGAGCTATGTTAATCTGCATCTATTTAAATATACAGTTCAGTTTTCAATAGCTCCCTGAGGGAATAGAATTCTACTCATATTTCTGCGGTTCAGG